TTAGCTAGGTACAGGACTACCTCAGGTAAAGAATGCTTTTCCCAATCTTCTTTACAATTAGGTACAGGCATAATGCTGAATTCTGGCCATTGGAATATAAAGGAACATGATGTAGAAAATTTTCATGTTTTTGTTAAAGAGAAAGGGGCATTCCTTGTTTTTCCTATTTTCATTTGTTTTGGTTAGAAAGAAGGTGAAGTGGTTGTGAACTTATCTGGATGCCCCAGAAAAGGCAGAGTGGAGCAATTCCATAGAAAGATCCTGAGTCTCCTTATTAAGGACTTTATAAACAGCTGAACCTCTCTACAACTTCGGCAGTGGGCTTTCTTGAGGGAGCAGCAGAAGCTGATAAAATTGCTAAGAGTCCATGATGCAACTGGAGTCATGACTCTCCTAGCCCCATGAGTTGGGAGTTTCAATGGTAAGATAAAGAATTGTGCTAGGTGCCTTCACCCCTATAATCACATTTCGTCCTCAAAACAACCTAATGGATTGAGTATTATTCTCTCCATTCTACAGATTATAAAGCTCTACAAAGAGAAAGTACCGAGCATGTGTCTGTGGCATGACAGAGCTGGGATAGTATTTCTGCAGAGAGCTCAGTTCCATTTGTTCCCCTTCTCTAGATACTTCTTGCTCATATGAATGCCCCATGTTGCAAGGAGCTCAGACACTTTCATCAGCCCTGTGGCTTAGCAGGGATGAGAACTCACTTTTCCCTCGCAGACCACAAAGTCCTGTGGTCATGTGTCCATCATGCGACTTGCCCTTTGAACCTGGAATATATAGTGGTGATAGGGCTGAGGGGAGGGGAGGAGAACAGAAATGCCCTCTGGCCAGGAACTCTTTACAATGAAGCCAGGTGCTATAAATTTCTCTAAATGTATGGCCCCTCTCCACACATCCACATCTGGAATGCTGCATAACCCCTTCCTTCTCCAACCCCCTCTGCAACGATGACTTCCTGGAGCATTTTAATGACTCACCATTATAAATAATATACTCTACCCTTTCTTGTTAAAAAAAAAAAAAAGCCAGAGGTTTCTGCAAAACCAGCAAAGTACTCCAAATCATAATTTCATCGAAAACACTGGGAAAAAAAAGAAAGAAAGAAAAACAACACACACACAACACCTTCATACCCTGAGGTAGGAAAGGTTCAGGAGATTTATGTCTTTCCTTGAACACACAGATTTATAACAGTGGATAATGTACATTCATTTCATCCATATTTATACCTGAATTGATGCGGAGTCTGGTATCCATTACTTTAATCTATGTAACTTGATCATCAGAAATCTGAACCATAATTTTAACACATATTACAAAGAGTTTCTTTTGGACTTAAAGGAAGCTGACGGCAGAGAAGAAAAGCCATTAAGATCCAGCTGCAGTCACTTATTGCTGCTGTACTTCCTCCTGCTACATGTGGGGGTCCCCCACCCCACTTCCCACCCCATATCTTCCTGGACACACATCCACTCTCCTGGTCAGCCACTAACACTGGCTGTGCTAAGACTGGCGAAGAGAGAAATGACGGGCAGGGCATTTCCAGGGAATCCATGTAAATAAATCTCCGCTATCCCCCGCCGTAGCCCAAGCTCACACGGAGGCCGTGGTAATGGGCCAGTAGTAGCCTCTAGTCACTTAGTAGAAGTGAAAAAAGTGCAGAGGCTGATCAAAGCGTCCGTCTGACAGACAGTGGAAATTAAACCCAGATACTAGTTCTCAAGCATCATTGCTGGCACTCAGCACATGGTTCCTGTCCAACTTCTGAGTACCAAACATTGGCCTAGCTCAAAATTCCAAATGCCTGTCCTGGACTAGAGCCAAGCAGTGGGTCTTTTAGAGATCTGGGCCCCAGGATTATGTGAGGTGGAAGATGAGGAAAACAAGACCTGGGACCTCCCTATAGTAATTATGTGTTGGGGACTCTTACAGTACACCATCCCTGGGATTCCCTAAAGTCACATAAGCACAATCACCGTGCCGGGAGATCTTATCTGTTTCGTTCACTGGTATGGTTAGGACTGGCACTTAGTAGGTGCTTGGTAAACCTTTTTGAATGAAAAGTCTTTATAACACACTATGTCAGAGGTATAAACTGAAGTATGAACAGATATTATTGTACAATAGTAAAGGATACAATCAAGGGGGCTTTGTGAAATTAGGAGTATTGTTAGAAGGCAATAATATGCAATTAAGTCAATTAAAGACTTTCCATTCTTGTATCTTTCAAACTTTTATCCTCTCTTTATCATTTGTGTGTCCTTATAAGGCTTCATATTTAGAAATACTTTAAGATTTTATAGCATGATGTCGTTCAACTGCAAAGTGATCCTGTAACATGGAACTAGCACCACTCCCATTTCCCAGACGTGGAAGGTGAGAAGCAGACTTTCCACAGCCTGTCTCACGCTAACCACCAGGCTTTGCACATTGCTCTCTCCCACTTCCCTCCCTTACACTAGGCCACGCTGCTATGCTTCTGGCAAGAGTAAAGGGCAGAGTAAGGAGGAAACGTTAGGAGTGTCTGGAGACACACAATCAGAATCGAGGAAGAGATTACTAATCCACAAATCACTAGGGTTGCTAAGTAGTTTTTGCTAGAGCCCATGAGGATAGTTTTTTTGTTTTTTGGGGGGACGGGGGTTTTTTGAGAGGTTTTTGCTATAGGGCACTTGCGCTCACCAGACAGACAGAGAGAGACAGAGAGACAGAAAGCGAGAAATCAGCCCCCGGGGGGATGGCCACGCCACAATCCCTTCTCCTCCATTCTCCTCTCGGGATCTTGGGCACGCACACACACGCGCCCGGTGTGAGTTTAAGCCACCAGGTCCAGGACTCGAACCACGGTTGACTACGTGGGAGTCCAGCGACATAGCCATTACGCTAACTGCTGGTCCCAAGCCCATGAGGATAGTTTTACATTTGACTGTCTCTAGGGAACAAATTCCAACTGTCTGATTCTTGAAATCAGATAGGACAAAAGTTTGGCTCATATTTGTCTGATGAATGCTTCTTTTTTAAAAAAAAAATACTACCTCTAAAAAGAAGATTGATAATTGATAAAACTTTCAATTTTTTGGTACTGTTTAATTTTTCACTACAGGAATGTGTGTATATATGTATCAGTGTTTATATGTATATGTTATATATATAGGATATGTAACATATATGTATATAATGCACTCATGTTGCTTAACAGGAATATGTTCTGAGAAATGCATCATTACTGTGATTCTGTATTGTGGAATCATAGAGTATATGTACACAAATCTAGATGGTATAGGGAGACTACTCACTCAGACTCTATAGTATCACTTATAATCTCATGGGATCATCATCACATATGTATCCAGAGCTGGCTGAAATGTAATAGGTGATGCATGACCATACTATACATGTATAACATATAATAAATACAGTTAACTGCATTCTATGTAAAAACATATCATTATAAATAAGTATTTAAACATTATAACATCAATAAATGATTATTGTCTTTTAGCCAAGAAAAGGCTTCAATTCTAGTCTGTTCTATAAACAAGTGGTTTCTTGAGAGACATCCAGAAAAGGGTCTGAGGAAACAGGCTTTTCATATAACACACTGCAGGCCTTGTCAGAGGCATGCAGTGAAATTTCAAAATAGTCAGTCCTGCCGTATCAAGAGGACCACTTTCATTTGTAGAAAAGGACACTGAGGGTTAGTGTCATGGCTAAGGTTTCACCTATAGTAAGTTAGATATGTTAGGATTTGAGCCAGGCCTGAGTAGTTTCACAGCCTATGACCTTTGACTCATCTGCATCATTAACATAATTCTACCAATTCCACCAGAAAAATAGGAGTCTGAATCCTGAACTTTATTTATTTAGGTTTTTGCCATAAGGCATTTGCACTTATCAGAGAGAGACAGTGAGAGGGAAAGTGAGAAATCACAACAAGGATGGTCACACCACAATCCTTTCTCCTCCATTCTCCTCCTGGGATTTTGGGTCCAGCTTGATTTTCAAGCCGCTAGGTCCAGGACTAGAACTGCAGTTGGTCATGTGGAAGTCTAGCGCCTTAACCACCATGCCACCTGCTGGTCTCTTGAATAAATTTTCTGTTTTTTTTTTGCTGTGTTCTTGAATAAATTTTTTTTTTTTTTTTTTTTTTTTTTTTTTTACCATTTTTCATTGGACGGTTTCAACAAGAACTTTTCCATTTCCTTGACCAGCTGTAAGCTTTTTCTTCTTTGAACCCCAAGCAGTTATGGTACTTTTTTTCAAGTTTACAGAAAAATATTCACCCTTGGTCTCACATATTTCAGACACAACCCCCGTGAGAGAGGCACTATGAACAGGATACTGCTCAGCCACTCCCTTACCGTTAAACAGGTCTACTGAAGAAAGACCAATGACTTAGCCAAGATCAAACAGTGAGCCTGGGTTCCCCCATGTACTAGTCCTGTGGCTGGAACTTCAGCCCAGTTCCCCTGTTTTTGAGAACCATGGCCCCTACAGTAATTGAAAGGCTTACCTTGTACTCATACTGAGTTAGGAAATTAGAAAATAAACAATGGAGACGGACCAGCAGTTAGCGTAATGGCTATGTCCCTGGACTCCCATGTAGTAGACTGAGGTTTGAATCCTGGACCCAGTGGCTGAAACTCATGCCAGGTGCATGTGTGTGCATGCCCAATTTCCTGAAAGGAGAATGGAGCAGAAGGGATTGCGGTGTGGCCATCCCTCCAGTGGGTGACTTCTCGCTTTCTGTCTCTCTCTCTCTCTGTCTTTCTGGTGAGGGTATGTGCCCTATAGCAAAAACCTCTCAAAAAAAAAAGAGAAGATAAACAATGGAGAGCCATACCCCTGCCTATAAGGATTAACTATTGAGCTGGGAGGCATAACCACAAACACTTGTATTATTTGGTCATAGAGTAGCTTGTTGCACTTGTAAATGTCAGTAAAGCTGACCAGGCTTTTCCCAGTGATTGGTGTTCAGCAGAAAGAGTTCCCACACAGCTGTGCCCATGGCGGCCACACCAGCTGGGCACCTGTAAAATGATGGACATCTTTCTGAACCAAAGCCAAGAGTAATTCATTCTCTTCTATTCTCACAACCTGACTTTTGACTTTACTCTTTTACTCCATTTGCTAGATTTGGACTCAACACTTATCACTATAAAAATACCATTTACCAAGTAATGATTATAGGCAAGATTGTATTAAATACACTCACTCTTGTTAATCTTTTTAACAGCTATGGATGCGGAAAAAGGAGACTCACGGTCCCTGTTCTACAACCGCGGAAATGAAGCTCAAGACAAGGTTAAAGAAATTGCCTGAAGTCATGGCCTACACTCTGAGCTTGCAAATTAACAAGAAAGTGCAGAAAACAAGTAAGGGGGAGGACTGGCTACTAGAGAGCTAATATTTCAAACAAACAAACAAAAAACCTTCATAAAGTAATCTTGCTTTTCTCAAGATACCAGTGATCTGACATAAGTTCAAGGATGGCTTCTATAATAGAGCAAACTTTGGAATTCCTGGACCCCACTCCTCAAAAAATAGGAAGCCAAAAAAATTTGTTTTTCATGTTACCATAGAATTTTTCAGTGTCTTCAGTAGCTTTCAAATACTCGTTTATGTCAAAATAACTTCTATTATATGTATTCACTATGTGTAAGATTCTTTATATATGGGGTTGTTGGAAAAGTCATGATGCATTTTTACATAGAAAAACAGAAAAAAAAGTTATTTTTCTGACAATACAATATAACTGCTCATATTACACAGGAGTTGTTTTATGTACATACATGAATTTATATTGAATAGAGAGATATAAATATATACATGTAATAAACACCTATGTGGGGGCCAGCAGGTGGCATGGCAGTTAAGGCACTGGGCTCCCACATGGCCAACCACAATTCTAGTCCTGGACCCGGCAGCTTGAAAATTATGCCGGGCATGTGTGCATATGTGCCCAAAATCCCAGGAGGAAAATAAAGGAGAAGGCATTGTGGTATGGCTATCTCCACAGAGAGTGATTTCTTACTTTTCCTCTCACTGCTTCTGCCTCTCTTTGGTGAGTGCATATGCCTTATTAAAAAAACCTAAAAAGAATTAAAAATTTTAAAAAATGTGTATGTGCATGTCTAATGTGTAGGTGACCTTAGTCTAGCTCAATCCTGAAGTGCTAGAAATGGGCTTTGAACCCAAACACTGGTCATTCCACCCACTAAATCATTGCTTCCCAATGTTGGCTATATATTGGGATCACCTGATAATTTATAAATTTTCTTGGGTCCCATGCCCAGAGATTCTGATATGATTGGTATGGGATATGTTCCAGCATGAGGACTTTTAAGTCCTCTTAGATGATTCTAATGTACTCTAAGGATGACAACCACAGATTTAAGCCATCACTTAACAAGTCAACACTTAATAACTAGTACTAACTAGTTTCTTATTACTGCTGTAAAAAGTTAACAGACCTAGTGGTTCAAAGCAACACACATGATCATAGTTTCTGTAGTTTAAAAGTCCTAAATGGGTTTCATAGGGCTAAAAGTAGGTTGTGTTCTTGTCTGGAGCTTCTCAGGGAGGATCCTTTTCTTTCCCTTTGCAGCGTCTGGAGACTGTCTGCGTTGCATGGTTTGTGGCCTCCTTCCTCTACCTTCAAAGTTAAATTTTTCTCCCATAGCATCACTGACCTCTTTTCCTGCTTCCCATTCCAGACATAAGGACCCTGGTGATCATAAAAGACCACCCAGTTGATCCAGGATACTCTCCCTGTTTTGAGGTCAGATGACTAGCAACTTTTATTCCATCTGCTCCCTAAATCTCCCTTGCCATATAAGGTAATATGTCTGCAGGTTCCAGGGATTAGGACATGGACATCATTAGGTGCCATAATCTTTCCTAAGATAATTGCAATTTTAAATTTAAAAAAGAAAAGTCAGGATTTCCCTTCCATTGCACTTGCTCACTGTGGTGAAGCCAGCAAGTGGTGTGTTCTTTTACAGGAGAGTCAAGTCGTAGCTGCTGGGTATATGAAAACATCTCCCTTCTGTTCTGCTCACTCTTCTTTCCCACTAGTAAGAAGAGCAATGAGAGCCTGTCATTCTCTGGGCTTCCCACAGCTGCTGTCACACCACTTGAAAACAGCGCCCAGGTGACCAGCATTCCCCATCCATCCCTGGATGAGGCAATATGTGAGCTGCCATATGCTCCGGTGGGTTCCGGCTGACGCTGAGCAGGTGTATGGCATCCGGGCCAAGCATCTGGAGGGCGGCAGATTCACAAAGGGGAGGTACCATTTTCAATTTGCCAGAAGAAGACCTAGCAAATAACAGAGGACTAGGTGTATTTGCCTCTCTCTCTCTCTCCCCAATAATTTCTTAAGAAATAGTGGTTGGTTCTGGTTTTCATTCTGAAAATCCAAGGAGACGCTTTGAACATGATGCTAGTGCTGATTTAAATTTTTTTTCTCTGCGTTCTCCAACATTCAGAATCCATCAATTATCAAGATGCAGAGGCTTCCAAATATTTATAATGACAGCACTATCATTATGTTAAGCTATTATGACAGGAAAGGGAGGAGAGTAGTTTAACCTCAGTCAAGGTGTATGTGTCTGGTGTGTGTGTTTGCTATGCATTAATTTAGGATTCCTATAGCAAGTTTGCAATGTACAGTCGTTTCTAAATAATTTCTTACTCACAGAGAGCTTATATAGCTGAGTGTTTTATTTTAAAATGGCTGCAAATTAGTTCTTAAATTAAATCTATCTTTAATAGAGCAGGGAGTAGAAAGAAAGGAAAAAGAACTGAATGAATGATACTCTATGAAGAACCAAAGTTAACTGACACTGGCTCTGAAGAATTAATTTTAATCAATGTTAATGCCTCTGCTTCTGTAAAAATGAGTGATTGGAACACATAAAACATGCTATCAACTTTTACCAAAAAATAAGCAGTTTAGGGCATTTATTTCCATAAACTGGCACTGTGCATCATATGTCAGGCTGAGGCATTTTTTTGTGTGTGTGACTGACTTTGGAAACTGTGAGTTGACAATGTAAGTTCTAATTATTTGCACCCTCCTCAGTCTGTTATTGCATGACATGGGACTCTCCCAGAGGAGTGTCAGAAAGGACGTTATGTGGGCTGACGGGAAGCAGCTGAAAAGATCCACTGGGCTTTTTAATGCAGATGATGCACAGTGCAGAGAGGAGCCAAAGGGGATCGAAGAACCCTGATTGGAAGGTTCAAGTGTGTTCCATCTGTTACTGCGCTAGCCTTTTCATTAATGTTGCGTAAAGGCAAGCAGAGTCACAGCTGGTGAAAAGGTATCTGCTTGACAGGCCCAAAGCCTGAATCTCCTCTCCCCTGGCAGGGCCGGATGTTCATAGGAGCTTTGCAACTGTCCACCTTCAATTTCAGGTCAAAACACAGTTAAGCCCTCTTTTGTGGCAGTGGAATAAGCCCAACCTTGGTCGATTAGATGGCCTTGAGTTTGCTTCCAGCTTTTCCTCTCCCCCATTGTGGGTCCATCAGAGCTTCAGTTAAACTAAAAGTTAGTATCTTCATTTAAAAAAAAAAAAAAAAAGAAAATTTAATATTACAATCCAGTGCTATACCGAGGTATATCTGAGACTTTGATAAATATTTAGTTCCTTCCTTCTTTCACACTCTAAATTGCATACAGATGAAGAAGAAAAAAATTTTAGAGGAAGCTAGTTTTATATTAATGGTGATTATCAAAAGAAAGAACATACGGGACCAGCAGTTAGCATAATGGCTATGTCGCTGGACTCCCACGTAGTCGACCACGGTTCAAGTCCCAGACCCAGTGGCTTAAACTCACACCAGGTGCATGTGCATGTGTGCCCAAGATCCTGAGAGGAGAATGGAGGAGAAAGGATTGTGGCGTGGCCATCCCCCCTGGGGGATGATTTCTCGCTTTCTGTCTCTCTGTCTCTCCCTGTCTGGCTAGTGCACGT